GACAAATTAACACTGAAATTAAAAGAGAAAGAAGAGTCGGAAATTTGGAACAATTGGTACAAATGGCTGCAAAACAAGAATAAAATTAATTAAGCCAAAAACAATATATATAAATATATATATATATATATAGAACTGTATATAAAGGTGTGTAAATATAGAAGCGAAATATTATATACACGTACAGGTATGATGACATAACAATGTTGATGTAATGATTGTAAGGTGTTGTAGAAGGGAAAAAATAATAAAAAAAATCTGCTAAAAAAAAGAAAAAGGAAACCATGATTGGAGTAAACAAACAGAATTCGGCAATCCAAAGAAGAGTTAGTTATATTTCAGGACCTTGGATAGTTCCTATGAAATACCTTGCTTATTCCCCAGTCTGATGCTCTTAGCTACTTTAAGACATGTAGGTTTCAACTCCCAGAATTCCCTAGCCAGCATGGAAAACACACTCTGCAGACAGGATGCCTGGCATTTTCTTTTTAGTATCTTCTTTCTCCAGAGATTTTTGACAACTGAGTGAAGCAGGGACTCACTGTAGAGCTTGTACTGAAACCCTCAAACCTCCCAGCCAATTTTCGGAGTATAAGATGCACCGGAGTATAAGATGCACCCAAATTTTCAGCCTCTTTTAGGGGGGAGAGTGCATCTTATACTCTGAAAAATACAATATCTACAACTAGAATCATAGTCATAGAATCCCAGGGCTGGAAGGGACCTTAGAAGTCTTCTAGTCTGACCTCCTGCTCAAGCCTTATATCATCCAGTCAAAAGATTGTCCCCTCTATTGGTGAATATGTACTAGGACAAAATGCTGAAGGGATCTATTGTAGGATTCATAAGGGAAAATTGGGGATTTTCTCTTTTATATTCTCTTCAGGATACTCTGTTGTTATTTTTTTTTTAAAGGCTTTATTCAGAACAGTGGCCATGATGGTCCCAGATTATGCTTTGATTGGTGAAATTTCACTTTATTCGATGGGATTTCTTGATTCCAGAAGGTAGGTAAAGCTGCATTTTTACAAAGCAAATCTATTTTTTTTAAATCTTTTTTTAAAGACATATTTTCATACTCTTTTTTCCCCACCCTTTTCTTATACACAAAAATCCCATCCGGGGATCTAACATTTTAGAATCTTGTCAAAATACTTAGATTATTATTTTGTGTCTTCATAGTTGCTTTCAAGTTTCTTCTTTCTAGCTACCATGGTCAATAACACCATCCTTTTTTTATTTTTGATGAATGAAATGTTTAAATACCAAACAGAGTGATTAGAGTGATTAATTTCTTATTTTTAATTGCAGCCACAGGCTAACGTAATAATAAATTCCAGTCATTAGCACTGTAGTCCATGTCATCCCATTAATAACAAGAAAGATTGCCCATTTACATTGTTCTCATGTTTATAAATGATTCAGGAACGTTATATCCATTTTAGGCCTTTGCTGGTTTTTTTCTAATGTTTTCATTGCAATGTTTCTAAACCACGATTTCCTATTTATATATTTGCTTTTATTGTGCATTACGCTTTTTGCTGTGTTAAATTTTACAAATAAGGAAATAAATGTAATGATATGTGTTAATGTCCGGCAGGAGACACCAGGCCCACATGTAAATATGGTGATTAAACCGATTTATTTCTAAAAGTCTGTGCACAGGAATCTTCTCAACTAACAGTTGGCACTTGCTTAGAATTAGACGAGGGTCAATGGAATTCAAAGGGAGATGGATTTAGTTTGCTTGTGAGTACATAGGGATTCATCATTCTCCAGCATTCTCCTATGCTGGAGAAGACTCCTGCATTGAGTCCCTTGGACTGCAAGGCGATCCAACCTATCAGTCCTAGAGGAGATCAACCCTGACTGCTCTTGAGAAGGCCAGATCCTGAAGAGGAAACTCAAAGACTTTGGCCACCTGATGAGAAGGAAGAAGGACTCCCTGGAGAAGATCCTCATGCTGGGAAAGACTGAGGGCAAAAGAAGAAGGACTGCAAGGCAATCCAACCAGTCAGTCCTAGAGGAGATCAACCCTGACTGCTCTTGAGAAGGCCAGATCCTGAAGAGGAAACTCAAAGACTTTGGCCACCTGATGAGAAGGAAGAAGGACTCCCTGTAGAAGAGCCTCATGCTGGGAACGATGGAGGGCAAAAGAAGAAGGACTGCAAGGCAATCCAACCAGTCAGTCCTAGAGGAGATCAACCCTGACTGCTCTTGAGAAGGCCAGATCCTGAAGAGGAAACTCAAAGACTTTGGCCACCTGATGAGAAGGAAGAAGGACTCCCTGTAGAAGAGCCTCATGCTGGGAACGATGGAGGGCAAAAGAAGAAGGACTGCAAGGCAATCCAACCAGTCAGTCCTAGAGGAGAT